AAAAAGAAAAAAAAAAAGATAACTTACAAAAAAAAAAAAATTCTGTGAAATACAGCAGCATTTTTTAGAAAATGTTGCCATGTAGAACATGGATAAATTTAAGTCAGATTGGATTTTTCCCCTGGTAGTTGTTAGTAGAAAATACTCAATGGTTCCCAAACATTTGGTAGCTACTGAATGCATTCTATACACCCTGGATTTATCTCACATCAGAGCAAACCATTTACTCATTTGCCTAGGAGGAGTCTGATCTTGTAGATACTAATGAGATTGTCTTACAAAAAACATACACGATGGGCCAATCATATACATTGTTTTGTGGTTTCATAGTTCACAACATTCTCTTCGTTTCTTCAATAAAAATGTCTTTATTATAAAAAATTGTTGCTCGTCATATCAGCATTGAGCAAATTGGGTTTTCTTACAATAACATCTTCGACACTTTATATTAAGATTTGGATATAGCATTAGGCAGACAGTAAAAGAAGTGCTGACTTGTATTACAATTACACAAAGCCAATGGATATTTAATCATTTCCTTTGTCTAGATGCTTAGCATTTCCATGTTATAGGGACATCTAGCAGCGGTTCTCAGCCTGTCCACTCGTTTAGGGGTCAAATGATCCTTGCACAGGGGTCACCCGATTCATAACAGTAGCAAAAGGACAATTATGAAGTATCAGTGGAAATAATTTTATGGTTGTGGGGGGTCACCACAACAGGAGGAACTGTATGAAAGGGTCGTGGCATTAGGAAGGTTTGAGAACCATTGACTAGGGTATAACACTGTCTTTTTCTTTTCTCTGAGAATGAGATTTGTCACTGAAGTTTACACTGATATCAAGGTTTTCTTAATACCCATAAGTAACTGATTCAAAAAGAAAAACACAATTAGAAGAAGTGGTATCATAGTGCACTGGTTATACTCTTATTGTGGATTCAAAATGTCGCGTTTGGTTTGCGGATCTGCTACTTTTTAGTATGGCATTGGCCCGGTACTTTATCCTTTCTATGAATTGGTATCTGCTTCTATAACATGGATGAAACAAATAACCGTATCCAGTACTAGGTCTCAAATATAATTAGTTCATAAGCAGAAATCATAACAGTTTGATCATAATAATCTCTGTTAACTTCTTCGAGCAGAAGATTTGTTTGAAGAAATTCAATAAATAAATAATGAGAGAAATGATGGAGAAAGGAAGGCAGGTATCGGGCTAGGTTTTCTTTTTTTAAAGTCACTGAAATCTATATTTACTCAGACATTACTTTTTAAACATACTGCCATGTCTTTTTAGATAAGTGTCCCAAGCTCTGTCACCGTTTTCTTTCTCATACAATTAACAGTGGCTGTTGAATCACTACATGAATGGATGTACAAAATCAGAAGGCTCCTGATATCTGGGACAAAAAGAAAATGCAAAGGGGAAAACATATGTTTCATAATTCCCCTAGATGTCACTCCAGAGGAATGATCTAGATGAGGCTGCTTCACAAATTCATAGAAGAATAGAATTAAAAGATAAAAATTTTCATAAACTATGTGTAGCACTGTCATGCAAGTCACAAGGAAGATTTAATTTGAGAACACAAGGACCAGTAGACTGAATATTTCCTAGAGTGACTCCTCAATGACTCATTATTCAACTCAAGCATATCAAGATACACCATTCCATCTGGAAGATGGCTTAACTGACTTGCTTTATTCTTTTTTCTATCACAAGGTCAAACTGATAGTGGGTAACCAACTTTGCCCATGCTAATAGATTACTTCAAATAAAGATACAGTCTAACAATCAATATGAATAATATCATGCCTTAGACAACTGGCAACCATAATTAGTACCATAATTGCCTCATGATGTACTCACTTTCTGGATTGTCTGTATTATGTAGGCTGACCACTGGGACCCCTGGACCTGTATTTGAAAGATACAGAAGTAAACATCTGAAAGCATATATGTATTACTGGCAAGGCTACAATAAAGAGCTCTTTTTCTGCAAACAGAAGCATTTCGTAGCTAAAATATAATCAAATACAAAACCAGTCTGCCCCCTTTGGGGATATTTTTCCATTATATAAGAATAAATGAGAAAAAAATGTAAGCAGAGATTGTTGGTAAGACTTCTCCCACCAAAAATGTCTTCACGTCTACATTTCTATGGATTCAGCCAAGTTTGTATGTCTTTCTCTAGCTTTAGTCTTTTATTGAATAATTACTGATGAACAGGAAATGAATTCCATGATACCCTCAAGCACTGACCTAAGATCAAGTTTTGTTTATTATTCAGCCAAGGAAGAATTCTGTAAGCCTGTATATTAAAAATACATTATCCAAAATATGAGTCAACATTTTTGGCCAATTATACTGTTTCTTTAAGAAATTGGACTCTTCCATTATTTCAAATATACCGGTTAATGAAGATGTTACCATATTTCATTGAATATTCTCTTCTCTAAGAATCCTATCTAAAAGTATGTTTGCCCCCACTGTGATACTGCAAGGAATTCTTTTTATTGCTCTATTTCTGTTTTAAAAAGAAAATAAATGAAGAAAAAGAGCAAGTGTTAGTCATTTCCTCATGATGTCTTCAACCAGGACAGCTTAATCATGTACTAACTAAAGTAGCACTCAAATCCTCACATTATGCAATCGCCTAAATTCCATTTTGTCTGTGAAGGGTTATTGTTTTAGGTATGTTTTAGAGTTACCATACAAATACCTAATGATTATTGGAGACATCTTAATTGCCCGTAGCTGATGGTGGGCTTGAGCTGGAAAATTCAATATCCTGTAGATTGCAGAAATCACAAAACTAAGCCAATATTTTACCTTCTGTGGCCTTTCCTAAAAACCACACAAAATAATCTGCTACTGTGAAATGGTTTTGATTACTTATTCTTTGTCATATTTTAAATGTCCTTATTGATTGCATGTCCTTGTTGACTTCCTTCAAATATCTATTTCTCATTTGAATACCTGGGTAAAATTTGCATCTCATTAAATTTATAAATTATGCCCTCAGCAAAAATTATTATGAATTAAAAGTATCAAATTATACTGTTATCCTGTACAATTAATAGTAATGCTAACAGATTCTGGCTAAATAAAATAATTTTTATGAAATTGTTTATTAGCTTACCTTTACAGAGTAATAAGAAATGATGATTCATGGGACTAAAACTGGCATCGAAATATGTACATTGTTCTTTCATAAAATTACATGAAATACATTGACGATTCAATAACCCTTCAGTGGAAGCACTGGAAAATGAGAAACAAAGTAGAAATATTACAATTCTAGGCACTTTAATGTGTGCATCATATTTCAATAGTAGTATTAACACAGGACTTGCAACAGTGTTTTAAAATCAGAACTCACCAAATAAATGCAAAATCAATTTCTATATCAATGTTAAGACATATGAGGGTAAAATAAAAAGTTTGCTACTAGAGTATCAATTCCTACAACTCACTGCTATCAAGTTGACGGCAAGTCCTAGTGATCCCATAGGAGAGGGTAGAATTGCCCTGTGGGTTTCGGAGACGGTAACTCTCTGGGGATGTAGGAAGACCCATCTTTCTCCAGCAGAGTGGCTGATGGTTTTGAATGATTGCCTCTGCCCTGAGCAGCCCAATGCATAGCCACTAGGCCACCAGAGCTCCCTACCAAGTGGATAAACATGAGTCTGTGACGAAAGAAAGGCTGCAGGCAAATTCTCTTAGCATAATTGACTTAGTCTCAGTAGGGTTTAGTCATTCAAGAATAATAATAAATAAATAATGCCACAGTCAAATCAGTTGGTTCCAAAGGGATCTACTTGGTCGGTTAAATCCAAGGTAAAGAATACAGCTCAAAGGATTATGGAAACTGTCTTTGCAGGAGTGGGGGTGGATTTCAAAATGATAATCCTGATTGATTTTATCAGAGAATGCAGGATGATCACACAGACGGATTATGAAGGAGCTTTAAGAAAATGGGAAGCTGCATTGATGACAACAAGGCCATGAAATCTGAAGCCACGATTGTTTCCCCAATCAGCACACTGCACCTGCTCCTTCTTACACATTTACAATGGCTGTCCTATGTAGGGGGCCCTGGAGGCATAGTGGATATGCATCAGGCTGACGTGAGAATTTTGTTGGAAAAGCTTATCCGATCCACTCTACAGAACTGATGTCTTCTCTTCAGAGTTCTTTTTCCCAAATCCCAAAGAACTCTTAAAAGAAACACAATTTGAGATGGTAGAGGGAGTGCAAAGTGACATTTTGGCATGGTATAAATCAAACGACTGAAAATTCTGTGGGGAAGATTTAAAGAAATGGAAATAGTAGCATCAGAAATGTAAAGACCCAAATGCAGGAGATGTGGGAAAAACAATAGCTTCACATTTTGACATATTTTTTTACAAAAACAATCTTTCAATGACGTTATGTATTGGTGTGTATAATATTACATTTTAAATTATACAAATAAAATGAGTTATTTGTATAGGTTTATACATAGAGCCCTGGTGGTGCAGTGGTTAAAGTGACCACCTCCTGTCTGAGGTCAGCCTCAGGAGATTGACGTGGCTGTCTGCTTCAGGAAAGGTTCACAGCCTTAGACAAGCTAGGCTTACTTCCCCTCTGTCCAAATGGCCTGTAGGGGTTGGGCCAGATGATAGCACCGAAAAACAGGGTGAGTAACCATATGAGCAATCTAGGGTTTCCTAGCACAAGTTACTAGTTTTCAAAATTTAGTAACCTAAACATTGAAATATGACCTTAAAGACCTGTATTCCCCAATAATTACTTGCATTGCAATTTGTAGTAAGAAAATTTTATTTTTGTATGGTAATAAATATGATTATATTTACAGTGCATATTTTGAGATATTGGTGAGAGGAAGTGATTATATAAAAGTGACTAGATCTTTGTAGTAAAATCATGTTGTTTTAATTCAGAGACCTTGAGATATTTATCCAAGATTACGTTTTATGCAGAGACTCATATATGTTATAAATATTATTGAGTGCTAAATTATCTAGAGTAATAAAAAAACACAATATAATTCAACTGAAGCACTGTTTGACTAGAATGAGATTTTTAATTTAATTTTCTAGTGAAACCCGATTTTATAAATGGATCATTCAAAAGCAAAGCCAATATCATCAAACTGTCTCCAACTCATGGCAATCCCTGTGCTGTAGGGTAGAACTGCACAGTGTTTTTAATGTCTAGGATCTTTTGAACGTGGATTGCCTGACTTTCTTTTAAGGGCCTCTAGATGTATTGGAACATTCTTTTCTTTGCTAGTAGCTGTTCACTCAACCCTTTGCACCTGTTAGAGACTTTAATGAATCATAATCTCACTGCCTTTGATGTGTATTAAACATGTGTATTAAATCAGGTGTTAAAGTGTTCATCAGAAACACTAGAGGAAACTGATATGAAATATCAAATATAGTTCACAAAAATCACAATTTCACATCTGAAATATCAGCTGATGGAAATTCATTTCTATTATTCAATTCTATTAATGTCTACTAGACTTTTAGCTCAGGTAGTGAGGCTTTGTGCCCTCATAAAGATTACAGCCCCCAAACCCTACACTACAGGGAAGCTTTACTCTGCCCCCTGGGGTCGTGAAGAGTCAGAAACGCAGCAGTGCAGTGGTTTAGGTATTTTAGACATTTCAAATTAGCTAACTGCCTTTTTATGATAAAACCAAGCGCACCGCTATTGAGTCAATAGTCCGTCATAGCGACTGTAGAGGGCAGAGTTTCTGAGAGAGTAAATTTTTATGGCAGTAGAAACCCCACCATCTTTCTCCCACAGTCGCTGGCAGTATGGGGCTGCTGACTTCGTGGACCAGGACTCCTTACTCATTGCGATAGTTACATAATTACGTGTCAACTTAAAGTGTAGGGGTGGACTCTAGCCCGTCAATGAGGTCATGGCCTAATGGTGCCTCCTCATGAGCATGACCTTCTCATAAGGAGGGTCCTGAGAACCTCCCCTCCCCCCTCTCTGTTTCACCTTCCTGTGGGTGAGCTGTGGGTGAGCCTTATGATGCTTCCACCGCCATTGGATGCACAACTCTGCACCCACAGGCTTGTGATCTTCACGCTTTCTGCATCATTGCACGTAGCTGCATGAGTCTGAAGAGGGATTTATGGACTAGTATGGGACTTATGGGCTAGTATCAGACTTACGGACCTGATCTGAACTGGGCTGGGATGTTTCCCTGATATATAAGTACTTCTTGATAGAGAGCTCTCTCTTACACGTATATGAGTGTCACTGAATTTGTTTTTCTAGTCAACCCAGCCTAACACACTCTGATAGCCTACAAGGTAATCATAACTACTTTTAAGTATGCAGAATACTGTTAGAGGGGCTAAAAGTATATCACAGTCATGTGGAATGATTCAGTGACAGAGCCAGTGTGCTAACCTTTTATTTCTCTACATCTTCATATAACTTTCCAAATTCAACCTCCCTAGACTTTTGTTGGTATTATCGAGATGGTTGAAATAACGAACCAAAATATTTTAGACAGAACAGCAGCAACAACAACAACAAAATATCAGTGAAAATAGTAATAGCTCTGCTCCTGTGGGAGATGGGGGTGGGGGACTGGGGGTAATTTCATACATTAAGTCAGAGCATCATAATTGTTAAGGGAAACCTAAGACATTGACTGTTTTATCTAGGTCAAATATTAACATTATCCTACAGTCAAGCCAAATGGCCTTTGATGAGCTATTAAGGGGAAATATATTGGTAGTACTTTTTCTTTATAATGTAACTGGCAACACCAGTACAGATGATAGATATCTTGGCTCATCTACCTGAATTACTATGGAGATAAGACAAGTGCACAAATCTAAATAGTCATATTCAAATCACATATTAGGCTAGTAAGAGGTAAGATGCAGGCAGTTCCATTGGCTGATCATGTTCACCAAGGATAATCTCACACTGACATTTTTCTTTTAGAGGTATTATTTCATTTGTATTTGTTTTTTAATTAGAGGGAAAAGATATCATTTAAGTATTTACAAGTCACTAAGGTTTTGTTCATGGTTACTAATATCAATCATTATGAATTTAAAGAAAGATGAGCTTCAAATTACCACAGAAATTTGAACTATGGTAACTTGACATTTAATCAAGATTTTATTTAAAAAATAGGTCAACCTCTCTAAATAACTAGCCCATTTCCCTACAGAAACATTTAAAATTAGGAACATAGAGTCCACAAAATTCAATAAGATAACAACAACAACGACATGAAGATGTGGTGGGAGTGCTTAAAAAGTAAAAGCAAATTATATGTAAACAACAGTGTGAAGTAATTAAGGGGAATAGAGGGACTTTACTGTAAAAGGAATAATAATTTATAAAGTATTAAGGGTTCATGAGGGAGGGGGAGCAGGGAGGGAGGGGGACAAAGGAAAATGAGGAGCTGATTCCAGGAACCCAAACGGAAAGCGAATTTTGAGAACGATGAGGGCAAAGAATGTATAAGTGTGCTTTACACAATTGATATATGCATGGATTGTGATAAGAGTTGTATGAGCCCCAATAAAATGATTTAAAAAAAAAAAGGAAGGGTGACCGTCGTCAGACATGAATTTCCACTGAGAGTGTGCCATAGCTGTTTGGCACTTTAAAATTCATCTGTTAAATGGAATTTTAAAAGCATATAGAAAGCCTAGTTTTAATAAATTGTTTTCTGGACATTGATAATTAAAAAAATAATTCTTATGAAGGCTTTTGGAGTGAGGTATAATTTTAATCCTAAGTGGTATGGATTCAGCTTTGCATTTAGGAACACCAGGCAGATGTAATGTTTCTATAAGTAGAGTTTATTTCAGTAAGCAACAAAGACTCCTGGTGTAAGTAAGGATTCCTCCTCTCTTAATAATCTCAATGGAATTTATGAAATGTGGAGAGAAGGGAAAGCTCCCACTTAATGTACTCTACTAAGTGTTCACGACGGCCACATGTTATTCAGAAATAAATTACCTGAGTGCCGCATTAATGCACTGAAGATGCAAAATGAGGCTTAGCAAAAGAGGTCACAGCGAAAAAATGGATATGTTCAAATGTGAAGAACTGTGAGAGACAAGTCATACAAAGGGACATTTTGTGATGGCAAAACTCAGCAGCAGGGGAGAACATTATCTCTATTAAGGCTGTATCTGCATTTAGGCTTACAACGTTTAGAACATAGGGAGCCGAATAAAGAGTTTGTTGCCTATCTTAGGCTATAACATTGACTTTTCAAAACACACCTTGAAAACACAAATTCAGCTTGCCCTGCCCTTGCTTGTGCTGCGCAGATGGTCACCGAGGTGACCAGGTGGGGAGGAACCTTCCACAATGCTTACCTGTAGAGCTGCCTCCCTCGGGGAGAAGATTCCGTGCTCAGAAAATAACTGTCCAGAATAAAATAACACAGGCATCAGACACACATCCCATTTTGCCAAACTGAGCTTCCCGCTGAATTTTCAAAACTGTCAAGGAACACGCAAGATCTCTTCTTTTATTCAACAACAGGACTTTCATCCATTTGGAAAGACAATATTTTTATTTACAAGATGATCCCACTTTCCCCTGATCTCTCTTCATCTATTCTCCCCACCCCCACGGCCCTATGACGTGTATTTAAGGAAAAGAACAAACTGGATTCTTCTGAAGAGGACCAGAATAGCAAAATGTAGTGTTGGGAGAAAAGATGCCATTTGTCAATCCTGAAGCAGATTAACAAATAAAACTCACATTTTTTTAGTATTTTCATTGTATGCCAAGATCTTTACCACTTCCCAGTTTCCCGATGTGAGATGCCGCACCGTAATTTGCTCACTTTTACTCTGCAAAGAGAGAGAAAATATTGATGTTCTTTTTATATAACCGCTCTGACAAACACTAAAACATTGACTGGCTATGTCACACTTTCTTTTCCCCTTTGATGGTTAGCTATGATTCAGTTGATTGTTTTAAATCTCAAGAATGAACACACATTGATATGAATACATATTTAGGCAACAGTGGCTCATTGTTCCTGTGCTACAGAAACAACCACTCCAAAAATGACCCAGGTGATCAGCGGCCACACATCTTCTTAGCATCAGCATTTGGTACCAAAGTGGCATGTTAATCATGCTCGTCTAAAGCACTTGTCACGTGCAATTTGAAAACCATTAAATACATTTCAGGATCAGCAAAATAAACGAAAAACAACTGTATTATGGCAAAATATTCATTGCTGTTTCCTTTTATAACTTTACACGATGTATTTTTTTTGTAGATTAACACTACACGATATATATTCTTTGTAGATTAACTATTTTCACTAAATCATTAGTGTCTGAAATTAAGTTGATGCCTATAGTGGTAGTGTGCTTACATTACTGTAAGCCACTTTGATGTATAACATAATTTATTTGTTCTTCAGACATTAATGCTATTTTCAAAATTTAAAAACTAAAAAAGAAGTTGCCTATGAAGTATTCAGAAAAGTTGAAAAATAGGGCAATGAATATCTCTAGGCTGTTTAACTCGGTTTACCAAATATCTGCATTTTAAGTACTGTCTTCTCCCTATTTTGTCTGATACATAATTTAATGGTAAATTACAAATATTAGACTATTTCAACCTTATTGCTCTCAGCTCACATCTCTCAAGAAAAAATATTTTATTGTGTAAGCATATTTCAACTAACATCTATGAAAATTAACATTTATTTAATATTGTCTAATACAAAATCAATCAAGTTCCCCAAATATCTACATATCTGTCTATAACATATGCATTATAATACATTACCATATATTGCACTTGGTTACCATTGATTCATTCTCTGAAACACTTGGTTTATCTTTTCTATTTTTCACAAAACTGGCTATATTTTAGGGCTCTTGGCAATATTGTCTTATTGAATGTCTGACATTTTGGGGGTTTCTGGTTATTTTAGGATTTAACTCAGGCTAACCCTTTCTGGTCAGAACATTACATGGCTGATATTAGGTAACTCTTGTATGTCATAGTAGGATGCATCTCATTACAGGTTTACCGCACAAAACTGTGAATTAGATGGAAACTGCCCATCTCATCACTTCCCATCAGAGCATATTCTGCCTTGCAATTAAAAGTGAGGTAAAATTACACATTTTGTGAATATTCTTATCCCAATTAACTTTTCACTCAGTAATCATGACATACATCGATGACTTTCCCTGCATATTGAATATTAAATTTTAATAGTTAAAAAAATAAGAGTAAATATTATAACGTATGGTATTAAATGATTTTCTAATTCTCCCCTCTCTTCTATATCGATTAAATGGTATTTTCTGGTACTTTTTCCACTTAAATGTGCTCATATGTCTGCTTTCTGCCTCCCTCTTGAGCAGCTCTCTGTAATTGCAATACGCCATATTCCATTGCTGTTCTATTATTTATGATGCCGGAATTGTCCAACTGTGACTTTCGGAGCCCATCAAGTCAAACACTCTGTTCTCAGTATATCGTTTCATTAGTCTTGAAGCATTTCCTTTTTTTTTGTGCAAAAATATATTCCACATCATTTAACTATTTTTGTCCCATATCTGCATTCAATCAGATGTACTAGGAACCCCTGTCCTAGGAATCCCTTGATCTAATGGATTAAGGTATTTAGATCCTGAATTTAGGTGTACTGATTGCTACTGGGATGCCGACAGGTCCTTTATGAAGACATACATACATTAATCCTGGAAACAATTGATAGGCAGATATATTTATGTTTCTTCCTTTTAGGTTTATGCATATATGTGGATGTGAATAGGCATCTGCATTCTTCCAAACCAAACCCATAGCTATTGAGCCGATTCAGACACAGGCTCTTGTTGCTGTCAGGTGCTGTGGAGGCAAATCCTCCTCATAGCAACCCTATGCACCATGGAAAAAAGCAGTGCCCAGTTTTGTGCCATTTGTACAATTATTGCTCTGCTTGAGTGCATTGTTTGAGCCACCACGCCAATACATCTTATCAAGGGTCTCCCTCTTTTCAACTCCCCTATTTGACCAAGCCTGGGGTCCTTTTCTAGTGCCAGTGACGGATTCTCTCAACGCTCTTTTTTAAGGAGCATCCCAGCTGTACTTCTTCAACTATAAATGTGTTTGCTCTTATCGCAGTCCATGCTAACTCCAATAGTCTTCCCCAGCACCACAATCCAAATGAACCAATTCTTGCGTGGTCATTTTGTTTGAAACTCAACTATCACATATCAGCTATCAAATATCAATTGGAGGTCATTGAAAACATCATGGCTCCTGTGTCCTCACAGTGCTGCTGTCCCTCATCAACACATTAGAGATGTCTTGCGCAGTAGAGTTGCCCAATGTGATGATACACCATTTGATTTATGAGTGCTGCTTCCTGAATATTAATTGTGGATCCAACCTAGATGAAATCCTTGGCATCTTCAATCTTTTCTCTGTTTATCATGATGTCACCTATTGGTCCAGTTGTGAAGATTTGTGTGTTCTGTCCAGTGAGTGGGAATACATCGTGAAGGTTGCAATCCTTGATCGTCATCAGCAAGTGCTTCCTGCCCTCACTTTCAGCAAGCACAGGTGTGCCATCTGTATATTTCAGGATCTCTAATCTTGACACTGCATGCTTCTTCATTGAGCCTACCTTCTTGAATCATTTACTCAACATAGAGACTGAGTAAGGATGGTAAAAGGATACAGTCCTGACACATACTTCCTGATTTAAACCAAGAAGTATTCCCTTGGTGTGTCTGAAGAACTACCTTTTGATCATGTATATGTTTCACGTGAGCATATGGAATGTTTGGAATTCCCATTGTTCTCAATGTTATCCATAGTTTTTTATAATCCACACAGTCGAATACCTTTGCACAATCAATAAATCCAAATAAACAACCTTCTGTTATTTTCTGCTTTCATTAAAATCCATCAGACATGGTCTGTCATATCCCTTCCTCCTCTTCTGAATTTGGCTTGAATTTCTGGCATTACCTTGCTTCAGCTTTTGTTGGATTATCTTCAGCAAAATTTTACTTATATATAATATGAATGATATCTTTAGACAGTTTCTACATGCCGTTGGGTCACTTTTCTTTGGAATAGACACAATTATGAATCTGTTCAAATTGGTTGCTCTGTAGCTGTCTTCCAAATGCATAGCTCAGGGACAGCTCGCCATGTTTCATCTGCTTGGTGGAATACTTCTATTGTCATTATGTCAGTTCCTGGTCCCTTGCTTTTGGCTAATGCCTTCAGCGCAACGTAGACTTCTTCCTTCATACAATCAGCTCTTGATCACAGTACACTCCCTCTTGAAATGGTAAAATGATTGTGTATTCCTTCAATTGTTTTTGGATGTTTCCTGTATTGTTCAATAATTGGTCCGTAGAATCTTTCAACCGGGTAAACTGGAGTTTCAACTTTTCTCCAGTTCTTTTGGCTTGAGATATGCTGAGTATGGCTTCCTCTTTTGTTTTTAATTCCAGATATTTGTACATATTATTATACTACTTAACTTTGTCTTCTTGAGGTGCCCTTTAAAAATCTCTGTTCTGTTTTTTTACTTGACCATTTCGTTCATTTGCTCTAGCTACTTGTAGGTCAAGAGAAAGCTCTGAGTATATTCTTATATCCACTTTGATATTTTCAATTTTTCCTGTCTTTTTAATGACCTTTTGTTTTCTTCATTAATTATATTATTGATGTCATCTTATCATGTCTCATTAGTATTTCATGATTAAAACTTATCATTCCATTTCTAACTATTTTTCTGTCAGCAAGATCAGATTTTCAACTTCTATTCCTTATTCTTTTATGCTAATTTTGAATTTAATTAATCAATTATCAAAGCATTTTGATTGCTTGTTTGATCAATTTCAGATGGAAGAAGTCAGTAAAATTCTTCATCACTAACTTTAATGTTTTGTGGGTAAATGTGAATTGATAGTTGCATTAATGGGATTTCCTTGTAAGCATAGAGACCATCTGCTATCACAAATGACTTTGTACTTCAAGGTGAATCTTGACATGTCCTTTTTGATGATGAAAGCATGCCATTATTCTTAAAGTTATTCTAATTCAAAATGGCTAGTACTACCCTTTGTCAGCTCATTAATGCATAGGATATAAATCTGTTTGTGTTGTTTCATTTAGGACAATTTCCTATTACCTTTATTCATACTTCATACATACCACATTCTGATTATTATAGATTTTTAGAAGTATTAAATCAGATGCATGGAAATCCTATATCGGGTTTCCAGTACTGTCAATCATTCATGGACGAGACAGCCTCGGCTTTCTCTTCTGCAGTGATAGGTTGGTTTGAACTGTCCACTGTGCCATTAGCAGTGCCCCTTGTATGTTCTTAGAGATAGTGTATTTAAAAGTCTTGCCAGTTTGATTTAGAATCCGTTTATTTGTTTTTTTAGAATTTAAATATATTGTTCAGTACTTTTATGAGTATCACTGATACCTGAAGGAGAGGTTCATTTATGAGTGCAACTAGAGGTGTGTCTTCTGACTTCTAATTCACTTTTTTCCTCACTGTGTAGGGTCCTTACTTTCAATTGCTACCTTCTATTCTTCCCATAACCACTAACATTCCAAGAGAAAATGCTTTTCCCTATCAACTTCTTTTCTGCTCCTTTATAAAGAGCAATTCTTAAAACTTTCCATCTCTAGTACAGGCAACTGAATGTTACTTCCTTCTGTTTCCCCATCCTTTCTCCTCTGATCGGAACCCTGCACTCTTTTATTAACTCAGTTCCCGTTCGTGCGTGGGTCTGTGAGTGTTATACCCGCATTTATTGATTTCTCTCTCCCTCTTGTTTGC